GTTGGTTTGAGTCATATGGAGCGATGCAGGCTAGCCAGTTGGGGTTCGTGGGACAAGAGAAACCAGTGGTTGGAGACTGACTCTAGGTGATATGGCTCAGAGTTGAGGTCAGTAGCGCAGATGTATACACACATTTTCCTCATCTTAACGACGCTATACCGAATCTCACCACTTTCTCATTCTTCCTTTCTCTTTTTTCGTACTTTATATTTCTTTTGACTGAGTTTTCTTATCTTCATCTTGCACTTCCCTACCTTTTTACTTGATGTACTGATATGAGGTGTGGCAACTCGGACCGTTACGCAGTAATGCCTGGTCCTACATTGATTTGGATGGATGGTATAAATTATGGGATTTAGGACTGAGTGCTTATGACTATATAATTAAACTCATACAGTCCAAAGGCATACTTCAAACTAATTTCCTATAGCGTTATTCATCGTTCGAGAGTTCTCCTACTGACACTGATTATTTATGAGTTCAGTCATTATCTGTTGACAGAATTCAACTTACACAAGGAACTTGGAAGTACTACGGAAGCATCAGAAATGCTACGAAGAAGAAGGGTTGGAATCCTCAGTGCGGACGAAGATCCCATGATTTCTATCAATGAAAGGATGAAGTATCATCATATGCATAAGGATTCTTATGTTTGAGCGACAGAACTGTTATTCTTAAGTACTGAAATCCGCTATTTTAGATAATCCTCATTCTATACACCTAGGAGCTGAGAAAATGAAATTTGTGACCGGCCTAATTGGCTGGTGGCAGGAAACTGACAACAGCATTATGCGAAGGTTAAATTGTGGTTCTTATTCCCTTAATAAAATATAGTATGAAAAATCATAATGGAATCTATGGCCTGTGTTTTATGAGATACGGCAGCTCATTCATTCCGACTTCAGTGGTCTCTTCTTAGAACTTATACTATGCTTCAGTTATGGTGAACTCTTATCTAAAATGGTTAGAAATAATACTTACAGACGCTCCTAATCCAGACTTCATCTACAGGATGAAGAGGAAGACTTTCAGTCTTAAGAGAATACTTAATATCTTATTCATTGATAATGGGCTCATTTTGTACTGAGACGAACTTCAATGATTGGCTTAAAGATATCGATTGTTGTCATGTGTATACAGCACCATATCATCTTCAGTGAAACAGGTTGGCAGAAAACTTGATGTGAAGAATGAAGAATGCTATAGCAGCAGTGATTCGAAGCAATGTAGAAGAGCTACAGAAGTTCGTTGATAACTTTCTACTTTACTATTGGAATACAGAATATACAACTGCTTACAAACATCCATTCGAAAACAATCAGTGAAGCCTTATGTATACACATAATCCTATCAATATGTAATCCATGGGAATCATAATGAGACTCGGTTGAATTTAGTACTCATTTTTCTATGTACGAGAATGGTATTTATTAGTTTACTGAGTTACCATAACCATTCCTTGTTATCAGTATTGATCTACAGGATACCAGAACATACTACCTGAACTTCATTTACATTTCAGCCTGCAGACTTTTCTATAAATGTCTGGAACCTGGAATAAGGAGACAGCTACAGTGACTTAGTGATTTGATGAATTAAGCTGGTGAGTATCAAACAGGATAAAACTCACCTTTCGGATTCCGTGTTAGCCACCATTCATTGCCATCGAAAAAAACTTGGTCTTGGTCAAGTCAAAATTTTCACCCCTACGCATAAATGATTTCTGATCTACTCAGTGGAAAGTATGCTGATATTTTTCATATGGTTGTGCAAAAGAATGACCTAGAATATAATAAACTCATAATATTCTGCTTTATGTAGTTATTCTTACTGTTAGAGTTGACAAAGAGTATACAATTTGGTTTAGCAATAATTTTCTTACGAATTTCAACCCACCACTCAAAATTTGAATAATATTTATCCAGACAAGATTCTACTCAAGAATTTCGTAGCATTAAATACATAAAGAACTGGGATAGACACTATACAACTTAGAGGATTTCCGTACTTGGGATCAAGCGAATGCAGTTCATGTCATTTAAGTCTTGTCAATGAAAAGCATTGAAGTTCATGCTGCTGTAGTTAATAATTTTACTCATTGAAAAGGTGTTATTGTCGACGTGACAGCCAACAGGATTACAACACCATATCATATTTGAAAGACTTTACGAATGACTTTGAGTTATCCATAATGAGTAACAGCCAATAAGAATTATGTCTTCGTCCATTCAAATTATATGTATCAAATACAACTGTAAGATACCTAAGACGTCCAAAGAGTTTTAAATTGGTTAGGCGTGTAAATGTATTGTATGTTTGTCATTCATAAGGTTGGAAAAAAATTAGTGAGTTTTCGTTATGATCATTGTTTATTGTTATTATTTGTCCCTTGGGTTCCTAGTGAAACATAGGGCTTCAGTAGCACGTCTCCATTGCATTCTCTTCTCTGCAGTCTTTTCAACCTGGCTCCGCCACTGCCTATAAGCTCTCAATCCTTCTTCACATGATCTCCTCCATGTCACCCTCATCTCGGACGCTCAACTCGTCATTTTCCCTTTAGATTCCAATCGGTGCGTGATGTCTCTGAATGGTTTTCTCAGTCTACGTCTAGTCCAGTACATCTCCACTTCCTTCTGCATATTTGTTGGGTGATAGGTTCTTGGTTGGTTAGTTTGTTGCCAGCCAGCCAGCCAGCCAGCCAGCCAGCCAGCCAGCCAGCCAGCCAGCCAGCCAGCCAGCCAGCCAGCCAGCCAGCCAGCCAAGCAGCCAGCCAGCAGCCAGGCAGCCAGCCAGCCAGCCAGCCAGCAGCAGCCAAAGTTCCTTGTTGCTTGTTCTTATTGTTCTGGCCATCTAGAATTAAAAAGACAACTGATCGAATCAGTGTACTCTCACACACCCATTAACCGACCAGTCAGTTTAAACTCAGGTAATGTGACACATTGTAATTTATAGTCCACCTCCTTTTGAAGTTCTGATGATGTTGTCTAGCACGCAATTGAAACGACTGTCAAACTGAACCTCGGTTCAGGGACAGCTCGGTGTGAGCAAATTTGGATATCATTTAAAATACTTCTGATACCGCATCTCTATTATCTCAACCATGATGACCAAAATATTGCATACATTTTGCAATGCTAGTGATTAACTGATCAATGTCAATGTATTAATACCATATCAGCAAACGATTTAACTTATTTAGTAGTTTCTGAATGAAATTCTTTTTCCAGGAAGTCTTAAGAATTGAATCTTCTGTGACAAGTAAAACTGAACAAGATAGACATGAACAACTGAGCACTGCTCACATTCATCAGTATCATAAGATGGTACAATCATAGTTACTTATATACCAATGGTCAGTAATACCAGTAAACATATCTCATTCAAATTGTTGGTGGATATTTGTCAGCAGAGAATCAAGGACGCGCGTTTCACCCTATCTGGGACTCATCAGCCTCGCAGTGAGCGATTTTGTTCCCTCCAGGACTCGAAATCAGGACTGACTGCTTCAACGCCCAAGATTTATCCACTGGGTAACCCATTCATGATAGCCCCTCCTGTGCGATGGTTATAATACAAGTAATAGCATTAATAGTGCATTTAACCTTGGAAAGCTTACTTACTGGTCCCAGTTGAATGTGGTTATATGAAGGAAACAGACCGATGATGTCTATCATTGATGAAGTGCTTACCAAACTCATCGTTCTTCATTAAGCCATTTGTGGCAGTGCTAGACTCTTCATGAAAATCAGCCCATCAAGAAGAAAGGTATAGTCTGTCACAGAAAATCTAATAATTTCTGTCCAACTTGTCAAGCAGTTCATATCATTCAATGCTTTTTGAATAAATGGTGGTGAATTTTCAAAAAGAGTCAGTAGATTTTCAAACATTTTCAGACAGTCCATTTAGTCACTCAGTCACGATCGTCACTCCTTGTACGAGGGGTAAAGTATAGTCTTCGACGTTATAACTTGTGAATCTCCGGCGTTGACTAACTAGAAGTGATAGGTTACTATTTGTATATGAGCTTCTATGAAAGGAGTGGCTATGATGACTCACTGGGCTAGACAGTAACGTTCTTATAGCTGAAACAATTTATTGCGGGTTAGAGTTTTAACCGGGACAAAACTACTTGCTGTGAGGGTACACGCACCCGACTGATGAGTTGCAGGTAGGATAAAACACTCGTCCTGAACTTCACTCCTAGCTGCTAACCATCATTATCTCCAGGACGTATACATGAGGTTTATGAACGGTTTGTAAAACATTAAATTTGATCTCTTCACTTAGTGCTTTTCAGATAGTTCAGTTAAAATCTGAATAGTCGGTATTCATGGTGGACTGACATCAGCTGGAGGGACATTGGAAACCTGGGAGCACTGGAGAGCTTTGTCGCCCTAGCGTGAGGCTCCTCAGCAGCGCGCACACACGACCTCGCCAGGAGTCGAACCCTTGACCTTCAGGTTCCGTGGCCGGCATGTTACCACTGAGCCGCTAGGTCGGGATCGCTAGCGCGGCTGTGGGCGTGCACTGCTGAAGAGTTCCATACTAGGAAAAAACAGCTTTTCAGTGCTTCCAGATTTTCAATATTCCTCTAGCTGGTGTCAGTCAACTATGAATATTAACTTGAAAAAATCTCTAAATTCACACGCAGCTTCCAAATTCGAAATTTGAATAGTCTCAGCATTCTAATCATTTCACTGGATAAGTTTTCATGTATACAAATCCTACGCTGCTCAAAAAGAAAAAAGTCGATATTGAAAAATAGGTGAATAACTTGAAAATGAGATAATGTATTTCAAAATTTCTTTCACTTAACCCTGAGCACACATGTTTGTTGGTCTTAGTTAGCTATATATATGCACATATTTATATGAATTATCTCGTATCAAATAGCGCCGGGGTGCGGACACAAAGTTAAACAAACAATACCCAAAGAAACTGAATATATATATATATATATATATATATATATATATATACTGTAAACGGGACAAATCGTAGTTTATGTTAACTTTTCTGCATCTTCAGGAATCATAAATTCTTTAGGTAACTTCGTAGCAAGCCTTTTAGCTTCTTCTTCGTCATCAGCATCGTTTTCTTGTTCATCGAAATCACCGAATTCTCTTTCTGGTGACTCATCACTGTATAATTTTATTTCATAATTATTCGAATTTAAACTACCAAGCATATGATCAACAATATTTGGATGTGGTAAGTGCCCAGATGGATGATTCAGTATGAGCCAATCACGTGTGTAAACCTGATCACCTCTAGGGTCATGTTTATCCTTGGAATCTTTTGGCGGTAACCAGAATGGACGATATGTACTTGATGTCTGAATAGTTCGGTTGAATTTCACTTCATCCAATAGCCATGTACACATTTCCGGTGAGAAATATTGTTCAAATGTTGAGCATATTTGTGATTTACTTTTAATTAGGCAAACTTTTGACACTGTCGTCTGCGGTAAAAATGGTTTAATTGCTTGCCAAGCTACTTTGAAGGCTGGTCCAGGACGTATACATATTGCTAATCCTAATCGCTCTGGGTAGTGATTAGACATTATCTTGGCACATTCATAACCAAGTCGAGGATGACAGCTTGTTGAAGTCATGCCTGAAATTGAAATTTTTCAATATTTTTTATTACTCATCTTAAAATGTGGTGAAAAAGTGTTGTGCACAGCATGATAGGACATCAAACTACATAGATAATGTGAGGTTACGAGTAACTCTAAAGGTCACCCTAACAACTACTAGAGGAACTAATAAAAATTCTGTATTTTACGAGAAAACTACCTTTTCAGGTGAAGTATAGGAACTTAATTGGTCATTTTAGTCGTTGTTAGGGTGGCCTTTAAGGTCCATAAAGATTACATTTTCTCCCCATGGTGATTACTATAGGAAAATAGCAACATATAGTGTTATAATAAGTTTACGACAGGCCGTAATACATTGGACACTATTCAGTGTATTCATGAGTTGTAACGTACTAGTCATCAGTTGCGTTCCAGGGGTTATCATTTAGAAACCAACTTTTAACTATTTGTTTCTCATGACTGAAAAATAGAGTTTATTTTTATACTACTTATGAGTAGATTCAGAACAACAGATTGAAATTCCCAGTGCTTATGAGTCGCACTATGGTTTTATTTGAAACTACTATTAATAATGTGGAATAATGCACCACCATAGTGAGTGAATTCTACTCTTATAATAATTCCATTGAAGTCCAAATTGACAACATTGTTAGGTCTACATGTGTATTTCCAACATATTTGATAATGAGACTACAATCAGGAAAAATCAATAGACAAACATACCATTGGGTTGAGTACTCTTAAGAATACTTTATTCTGTCATATCGAAGATGCATTTTAGTTCTCAGAATCCTTCGTCCAGTAATGTTCATACAGATTCAGGCAGTAAGTCCCACAATTATTCTATCAGAAAATCAAGTTTTTGAGAAGGCACTATCACTTCGCTTGAGATATAAGTGAAATCTGCTAAACCCTTATATAAACTGACCGGACAGATAAATACAGAATGTATAGATAAAACAGTTTGACAGTATTGGGTAAAGAAACAGTTTCGTATGTGAATAACTTTGACACCAATAGCTTCAGAAACAGGCTATGGGAAATGTTCTGACGTATAGGTAATCAGTTGCACAAACTAATAACTCTAAGGATATGAATGTTATCAACTAATTAGCTGCATAGAAGATAATCATATATTTTTGAAGGCTAGAGTTTTTCCATAACCACTGTGTAGAAATCTTGTTTTGAGGCTGGGTCAGTACCATATCAATGAACTCATATCATCCTGACTGAAATAATGAAACGAAATAGAATATGGGCATTGCCAAAAGAAAACAAGTGTGGTGTAGTGGAACTTACAAATAGAATTATTACTTATAAAACATATCACCACATAAATAGAGGTATTTTTAGAGCAATAAAGTCAATTTACTGTGAATTCGATCATAATTACAACAAATATCTGAGTATTTCTAGATTTGATTTTATATGAACATACCAAAGAAACCATTTTCAGATATAGCTTATCTTCCAAGACACACCAGTGAAACATGAAATGATTATTAGGTTTAAATAAAATCAAATCTCAAGTTTCAGGTGTCCAGTAAGAAACGATGGCCTTCCTGTACATTATTCACTCCTGAAGGTTTCACTCTTGAGCTGAATAGCCAAGAATTAAAGTCTTTGACTATGGCATGAAGCAAAACAGGTTCAGACTATCCAAAGAATATCAGTTACCTTAGAATTACCATACCAGTAACCGAAAATCATCACCAAACTTGGACATACAGCCTGCTGGTTATGAACTTCTAACATCTGTAACTGAAAAGCACTATAGCAGAAAGGAATGGTATTGCTTAGACTCGATTTTACTGCTTTAAATGCCATATCTAAAGAGAACTTATTAGCGAAAGGTAAACAGTTTAAATGCTTCTTGAATAAGAAATGAAGTGATTCGAAGAGATGTAAATTTACATTCCATTTTAAAGTAGATTTACAAACATACGGATGAAAAATGTAGAACCTAATACACAACTTGTCAGTCCACGACATATGCAACATCAAACAAGAGGAATGTAACAAGAATAACCACCACCAGTGGTAGTACTAAACAGTCTCGAAGAATTTATTCATAACTTCTTACAAAGTGTTCAGTATATTCTCCGGCGAAAAGCGTCAGTGTATGTTCATCTGTTCACAGATGATGCACACAAAAATTTGTTTACTATCTGTTTTGGTAGGTTTTGACCAATCAAAATATACCACGTTGACCTTGATCATCTGACCATTAGGAAAAGTACCAAAGTAGAATAACATATGTGTCTATCAATGATTGCCTAATACCCTTTCTTCTATTCTTTATTGATTTGTTGGTTAATATACACCCACATGAATTCCTTCACCTAAGCCGTGTTGTTTTTTCGAATATTTCAACTTAAATATAATTGCAATATAGATCGAGATTCATGCAGTAATCTAGAATGACGCGTCATATCCAGTTTTTGTTCATTATCTACGTTTTTATATTCTATTATGTTGAAGAAACTGAGTGTCTGCGACTACCAGAGTTATGCACAACTCTTACAGCCAATTTACAGAGCAAAATAGGCATGGATGGAAATGGAAAGATGATGCCATCATCATCATCACAAGCATCTACATTATCATCATCTCCATCAAACCAACTACAAAGTCATCATCAACATGATACAATGATGAAGAATGATAATGGATTTGAATTACGTCTACGTCGAGTAGATGATGGTGTTATGGTTGATGAATGGTATGAAAGTGGAAGAAAATATTATATTACACTGACAAATCGATTTTATGCAATAGGCTTTCGAGATGCATTAATGTGGATTGAACCTGGTATGAATAAAGAGAAAAAAATGATGATGATGATGATGTCAATGAAAATGGACTCATCAACTCTTATCGATGATAAATCATTTCTTGGACAACAAAACACAAATATAGTAGGTATATGGGTCTATTTTTGAATAAGTTCATTTCAATGTCTAGTAAATATGAGTAAGGAAGAAAATTCAGTCATTTGCTAAGTACAAGTGTACTTTATTTTTTTTAGCTGACTAACTATGTATGCCGGTTTTTAATGTATGCCCCAAATGCTAAGATGATTACTGTGGCGACTTTTTAAATTTGTTTTCACGCATCTTATACGTTAGTCTCTTCTTCTTATTCGTTTTACTATATGTTAATCTAATTTGCAAATACTTCCATTGAGCTATAAAAAAAATTATTCCATCTAGTGATCATTTTGTTCATTAGTAAGCGTTGAAATAATTACTAGACTATCGGTATTCCTGTATTCTTATATGTTGGTAGTAACAGTCAGAAATAGGGATAAGATTTGAATCATTACACAGAAATCCCAACAGATTAGCTGATAACGGATATAACATCCAGAAAATTTTATTCTTCATAGGAATGATAGATTATGATGTTGTCATGGTCTTATTTTAGCAGAAACTCGGTGACAGAAGCTTCAAAATTCTCAGTTACGTAATGCTTTACATCATAATAGTTCGAATCTTTGACAAATAACATACATTACTTCAAACTGAAGAGATGGAATTCTAAATAAGTTCATATGTCTTGATAACAACATTAGTTTAATGAAAGTTACAGTTAAAATTAGGTATCATTTGAAAAGGTACACATAATGCCCAGAGGTATCGATTATATGTCTTGTTTTATTTATCAACTATTCCACTATGCTGAATAACATATTCAAATTTTTTTCAGGATCAAAGCTGAGATCAAACTTTTTATAAAGTATATTACTACTGAAATGATGTTGAAACATTTTACCATTTTAATCGGTTTACTTCATTGAATAACCTATTTCCACTTCTCTGATGGTTTCATATCAGATTTAACTTGATTTTCATTATAACTTTAATTATTAGGGTTGTAATGAAACTATTTTCGTTAAACGTTTGCTTTATATTGAGTTACTTTTGAATAACCTTGATAAAGTGTAACCATGACAGGTAGAACTATGAAATTTCGTTGCCTATGAGACTATCAAATGACGATGAACACATCAAAAAGGATACAGTCAACTTTTTTCTGTATTTCACCCCATAAATGAAAGGAAATCAAAATAAGTTTGGTTTTTTAACGATGTTTAAGAACATTTTTCTACTTTTTCAACCGCTTTAATCCTGATTAAAGTAAAAATACATACGTCATAGATATTCATCAGTGTTAGGGCTAAAAGGAGGAAATACTCGCTGTTTGTTTACTGTTTTATGACCTAATGAGTACTGCAAACTTACTTGAAATTAAATTGTAGGTTTGAGAAGTTACAATAAAGGTTCTAGTTAGGCTTTATAGTGTACAACTTAGTACTAATGCTTGTTCGTATAGTAACCTTTTGTCGATACTTTTTTCCTTTATGGGAAATGGAGGCACATGTGGAACTCATCAGAATCAGCAAATAGCGCTAACAGACGATATGAGAAATGGTTTCCGTCTATTTAATTGAGATTACCATCGAGATTTTTTAAGTTTATCTATATTCAGTGAAATCCTTTCAATAATTGAAAACTGCGCACAATGACCACACAGTCACCTTCAACTTGATTGGTCACTTCATGGTCCTTTGATGGTTGCTTAAGAGCAGTAAAATTCCGTAGTTTCACCTCAAGCAACACAGCAGAGTTTTGCATGACTTATTCATCAGTTTTATTATGAAAAAGTGAGTTATATTCTTCATTGTGAGAAGATTTGAGACAACTTTCAGGTACAACGATATGATAAACTGGAAGATGTTTATATGACTGTGAGGAAGTTTGCTGTGCCCCAAGTTACATTACATCATGTGTAGAATGAACAGGTGACCTAATTATTAAGGCTAAAGGAGATTAAGCATGTTGGTGCCTGTGAATTCATAATTATGAGTAAGGTATAAAGTCCGCAAATCTGCGGTTTCACAGAGGATGTCTAGGAGCAGGCTTTAGAAAGCTTCACTTCCAACCACTGAACACTGACTGGTCTTCAGCGGTACCGCGGTTAACAATAGAGAGTGAAGTGGTTGAGTGTGTTGACCACTTCACTTACCTGGGAAGTAGGATCAACCCCGGTGGGTTAGTTGCCGATGAGATTTCGGCACGGATACAAGAGGCTCGATTGGCTTTTGCCAATTTGCGCCACCTATGGCGCCGCCGTGATATTCGTTTGTCTATTAAGGGTCGCGTGTACTGCACGGCAGTCCGCTCTGTTCTACTATATGGCTGTGAAACATGGCCCCTGAAAGTGAGGATACAAAAAGGCTTCAGGTGTTTGACCACCGTTGCCTTCGTAGTATAAAACGTATTCCGTGGTGTCACCATGTGAGTAATGCAGAAGTCAGGTGTAGATTTTCGGGGAGAATAGGTAAGTCAGTTGACGAGGTTGTGAACCTTCATCGACTGAGATGGTTGGGAGATGTGTTACGTATGCCTAGTCACCGATTGCCTCGTCACACAATGTTGGCTGAGGTGGGTCCAGGCTGGAAAAAGGCCGAGGTGGCCAGACTAAAACATCGGACCATGTATGAAGTCTCTGACTGTTGGTTTAAGCCATGTAGGACGATGCAGACTAGGTGGTTGGGGTCCACGGGACAAGAGGAACCAGTGGTTGTAGACCCTAGGTGATATGGCTGAGAACCGAAGTCAGTGGCGCAGATGTATACACACATTATCCTCATCTTAACAACACTATACCGAATCTCACCATTTTGTCACTCCTCTTTCCTTTCTTCTCATACTTTATATTTCTTTTGACTGCATTCACTTATCTTCATCCTTCGCCTCACTACCTTTTTACTTGATGTGCTGATATGAGGTGTGGCAACTCGGACCGTTATGCAGTAATGCCTGGTCCTATGATGATAATGATGATGATGACTGAACATCAAGCACAGCTTACTAAGGCATTAATCTATTCAGTCTCATATTCTCTTTTGTACGTTTCAGTCAAAATAAGGTTGATACAAGTCAGAATATTCATTTTGTTTTCATTCTTAGTTTCTATAAGCCGCTTATGCTTATTTTGCGTAATAGTTTATTAATGCTCAACACCTGAGATTTCTGAAATATCCATCGTGGAATTGTAGTCCGTTTTCACAAAAAACGATTATCAGAAGACTGTAAAACATCTTAATGAAATAATTTTCGGATCTATCTTCAACCGTAGCAAAAAGAAGAGTTGAATGTATACATGATGTGCCTACTCTACTTAAGCATTTCAACTATTAGTAAACTTGAGATGGTGTAACTCTGATAGGCACCAACTACAGTGTAGTCTTACACATCAGCTCAAAAGCTGCGCAATAGGTACTGCTGAATGTTGTTAAATCCTTCGTGATCCAATGGTTTTTTTCTTAATTGTAGGTTTAGTCATAGATCGGGCTTTATTTGTACTCTGATTGCATCTGTATTCTCGGTTATAATCCAAAGGAATAAAACTCTCAATTAAAACAACATGTAGACCAAAGCTATACCAACTAGCCAATTAACTAGGATCATCCTTTTGCCAGTAAAAGGCAGACAAAACCAACCTGGAACCTCGAACACAAATTCATCTCTTTAAATTCTCACACTTCATACAAGTTAACAAAGAACAAGTGGGTAGAAAAGAGCGATTTAAAAGTAAACAGAGTTACGTGAGAGAATGAACAATCTGAAGGTTATGCTAAGTGGAAATATTCAAGCTTTAGAAGACGTCAAAGAGTGAACACATCCACCCTATTATGATCGGTTTCAGCCATGACACTAAGAGTCCTCAGTCACTGGTTCGTTTCATCTCGGATACCCCGATCAGGTAGTCTACATTTCTTCACACTGTTCAAACCAACAGTCACGGATTTCATCGACTGGTGCCACGTCTTGACTTGGCCAGCAGGAATCCTATTCCAGCCTAATCCAGTTTTGGTGAAATGAATTCAGTACGCTAATGAAGTATATATATATATATATATATATATATATATATATCGATATAAGCATGTATATTGTAGCTCATAAACTTGGCAAAGTCAATGCAAAATCTCTCCTGCAAATCTCCACTTCTGTTCAGTATCATCAGTGAAGCATATCTAGAGCCGGGATTAAATTCTGCTGCATATAAAATCAGTACTGCGCCGTATAGTAACACTGTTATTGCAGTTACTGCTGACTTATCTCACCTACAGCTGACCCCTTCGATGACTGTTCACTACTTAATAATCAGTAATATGTGGTGTAGGTTAGGGTCGACGTCTCCTGATCAAGTTATGATACTCTCAAAAGTGAACAGGTCAATCACTACTTGCTAGACAAATAGTGGTTATTTTTCACTGTCTCCTATTTTTTATTAGTTAACAGATCAAAAGGAGAATTGTTCGTTCAGAGATTTAGGTGAATGGATTCATTTATCTAAAAGCGATTTAAATAAACCTGGTATATCAGATCTACGTTCACCAATGACATCAGTCACACAGACAAGATTTGGATGTGATGGTTGATAGCTGAGAAAATAAGACGTACAGAAAAACTGATCACTAAAATGATTGCTGTATGGAAAGCTCCATCTGAAGATAAATGCGGCTGTATCACTATTAATGCAGCTGTACAAACGCATCATATACATACGGAAACATATTCGGCTGTTGGTAAGTAAGAGTACTTGTATTTAGAAGTGTTGCATAATTTGTTTTTTTGTATAGTCCAAAATAGTGGCTTAAATGGTTGCATGTTGTCTCAACTTCTTGTATAAGAAAAGAATATCAACAACTGAAAGCGAAATCTCTACTACTATAGTACGACGACAGTAAGCTTTTCATCAATCTAACTCCTCCACAAGTCAACTAATTCATTTCATCTCCGTAAGAACCTGATGTTAGGCCACATGCTTCATCTGAGTCAGAAGAAACGAAACCAGTAAAACAATGAGTCTTTTCATTGTGTTCACGTTTAATGATAGGCCTCAGTAATCTTCTTATATGAATGCAACAGTAAGACAGTTTTCAGTATTTCATCACTTGGACAAAATATTTCACGACGTATGACTGTTTCATTGGTCTAGGCATTTGATTTTCAACAAGACGGTTGCAGGTTCCAATCCCACTACCTCTACCGGAGTTTGATTACCATTTGCTCCTACACAAAAGGTATGACTCATCTCGAAATACATGAACAAGCACGCAGTTGGTTATCGAGTCATACATTAGTATATCGTTTCAAAGAAGTACTTATCATTACTTATCGAAATGTAGATAAAGCTTCCTTATATATCGTTAGCATAATAGTTAAAACATACCAAGTAGCTTCCTGAGACAAAAGATATAACTGACTGTATTTGTAGGTAAGATATCATGTTTTACTGATGTAATAAAGTTAATGCCGATAATAGCAAGGGAATACTTATGTGGCGATTAGGAATCAATTTTGAATCTAAGTTTATTACGACAGAAATTACAGCTAATGCTTATCATTTGTCTACGACCCCGCCAGGGTTTGAACTCAGGACGTTTAGGTCTCGTAGTGAACGCGTCAACTCCTGAGAAGTTTGATACTAGGACGAAGCAGCTGAGCAGTGCTGTCAAGTTTTCAATGGCCCTCCAAATGATGTCACTCCATGACGAATATTACTTCAAAAATAAAATCCCTATAAACCTCAAACTACGATAGTTATCTCATATAGAAGGAAATATTTATAAACAGTCATTACAATAGATCAATTACTCCAGGAGATTCAAACATACCATTTCAGAGAAGGCTTAGGAAATCTCGGGGAAGTGCGCAAAATTTCTGAGTGCTTTATCTATAGAGACAAAGAGTAACTTCAGTTACTTTTCGAATACATAATTTTCAATGTATAGGATTGATCCAAAGTGTTTCCATCACCTTGAACAACTTTAGATTGAAGTTGTATGAAGCAACTGAAAAACAACCATTAGTATTGATTTGGTTACCACTCATCATTAAGTGCTTAGAGGTAGATGATGCTGGATTCCTGTTTGCATTGAGTACATGTGCTTTTATCATGTGATTTAATAGTCACTGAGGAAAATGGTCTTTCCAATGGCATCGCATCATTGTAAACCATGTTACTCGTTATGCGAGAGTGAGTCCACTGACCGGTCAGTCAACGGTTGAAATATCCACATTCTCCATAAAAGAAATTACTACCTCTTTTTCTCAAAGCTTTTTATGGAATACTTTAATCGGTTGGACTTAACTTTGATGACGTAATACCTATCGGAAGAGTAACATGACTAAATAATTAGATTCAGCCTCTCAATAATAAAGTTTTCTTGTTTAAACTTGGATGTATCAGTATAAAGTTAGAATGGAAAGGAAGGAAGTCTTAAACTCACGTTTTATGTTTGATTGTACCGTCAACAAAGTCTGCCTTCTAACTCAAGGTAGCTGATTTCTGTACATGACTCAAATACAGATCACCTAGTGCAGCAGTCAATGTAGTTTCTATTCAACCATGCAAGTGGATGATGGTCACAGCAAAGACTTGTTCGATAGAATTTAGTGAGGAAAGACTGAAAGTGATATGACCAAAAACTCATTAGAATGAAGGGGATGTAGTAACTTCATATTATTGTCAATATCATAAACAGCTTACTAGCCTTCATTTATCAATACCGCCCCCGTAAATTTTCGTCTTCATGCAAAGAAGAGATAATTCAACGAAAAAGTCTTTTTTTTTTCAATGATATCATTCTACAAAATTGTACTGTCTTATAACGGTCTATTATTCAACAACAAGGTATAAATGCATCATTAAGTAAATGCTAAAACTTGAAATCAAGAGTGGAAACTAATCATCTTCTAGACAATGGAAATAATGGGAAAGTTAAGGAGTTTGACAAGATGAAATTGTTGATACATGTGAAATGCAAAGACTGAGTGTTCACTCAATAGAAATAAAGGTGAGGAAAGAAACAAAGGTAATGATAAAGGTGATAATAGTAAACTAAATAAGTATGATGAAATCGATAAAAGATTGTGGAACTGTAATGACCCTACATATATACTTCCGTACACAGAGTTCAGGCTTGAATTAATGAATTGCCAGTGTTTTTGCTGTGGACAACTGTCAAAGACATACTCTTTTTGAACTATTCCCTTTGACTCTATAAATGATACTGAAGGAGGACTCTAGTGGAGGTATATGTGCAGAGTCGATGAATGTTCAAGAATTGAACTGTTAATTGATTTATATTATCTCTCCAACAACTATGCATGACAGGGCACAGAGATATTTTCCGGAAAGTGTGCACTTTGTGCGACCTATATAACTAGCTCCATAGGGGCTTGTAGACACACACTGAGATGGGAACTTACCTTCAACACACTCCGTAACCAGTTGCAGACTAGAGGAATTGATCTAAAGCTTCACAGAGATGAACGTCTTCTTCATTGATTTCGACGGCCGATTCTTCAGGATCTCTACTGCCGTATTACCTTTGAAACCAACATTCATAAACAAAGTTTTCTTTGTAACTGTGAGTACTAGCTACATATTCCGTTTAATTCCAAGTTTTTCTCAATAAATCAGGATGGTATCCATTTTGTGTGGGAATTCTCCGTAGTTTGTCCAATTCGTCATCAACACTGTCGCTCAGGAGAATCTGCACGACTGATACTATTGACGATATACTGAACAAACTCAGCCATAAACGAACTGTTAGCATTTCAGCTCGTCTTCTACTAGATAGGGTATATATTCTTATTACAAAGTTTATTTCTTTTTGAAAACATTTCTAGGTGGTTTGACTAAGACTTTGTGTCCTAGTTCAACGCGGGCCCCAAGTCCTGTTCTTCCAGCTTATATGATGCCTAGAAGTGTTCGGAGAAGTGATACTGTCACAGCAGAACAGACACTAAAACTGTCAAACGATGTATCAATGCATTTGGATAGTGTCCAACCTCAAGATTGTTGTGCATGTGGCTCAGCAACTTATAAACTCACCTTCACCGGTCTGTGGACCAAAAAGTCTCACCCAAAAGATTGGCCGATTCATAATCCTGGAGCACTACACTGGACTAATCTTATCGGCGCCAGTCATACACCAAGTTTTCAGATATATCGTATAGGTGAACCAGCTAGTGCTGGAGTTCAAGCTGTTTGCACATATGGTGATACAACTGTAATCAAACAATCGCTTGGTATCGCTGCTACAAATACTGGTTCATTGGGTGGAGTTCCGTCTGGAACACAAAGAGGTTCTACTGGCGTAGGACCATTACTTAGTTTAGTTTCTGCACCAGGAATGTGGGGAGAAGAAACACTTGAAGAGACAAGAACCACTTTTGTTGCAGTGAACAGAACACATCCATTGATTTCATTTTTAACCATGCTTGGTCCAAGTCCTAATTGGTGTGCAGGTATTTCGGGTCAGTCAGTATGTCAAGCAGATTGTACTTGGGTAAAGAAAATCGAATTGATTTATTCCCATGGGATGCTGGTGTTCGTAATGGTGATACATATCTGCCTAAAAATTCTGATAATAAGGTGAGTGATGTTGTGGCAGCATTTACTGAATTTTCGGAGCTATACTAACCAGTTACCTAATATCAGAAGCAGTAAGTTGAGACATTTTTAAAAATTAAAAAAGTACATCCTTTCTGATCATCTGAGTAATTAGACTTCATGGTGAACTGTGTTCAAACCTAGATTCTCCAAGCTTCTACATGATGAATCTTACTCTTTCTCTAACATGGAAGTACTTCATGATATGCCAGCTGTGCTGTTTTCTGAAGTTCTTTGTAAAAAAACTTCATCTACAAGTTTTTATGGATTCTACCTAGGTTTCCAGTGTTCCTGCAACTAATGTCAGTCCATGATGAATACCAACTTGGAACCAATCAATCCCCACAAATCTTCGAAATGAATTGATCTACTGCTCATTGGTGACTAGCTGAGGAAGGTAATTCCCGAGGTTCCTGTCAGAAGTCGTGGAGGGTAGGTCAACCAAGTCCAATATGAAGACAGTTACTCAACGACGGCATTGGATGGCGGTCGCTTTATGTCATGAATTGACAGAAGTATGAAATAAGAACAATTGGGTTCTGACCTAGTGGCTCGATGGTGACCTGCTGGTCACAAAACCTGAATCCTGGGTTCAGTCTCTGGTGGAGTCATGGGTGCGCACTGCTGAGGAGTCCCATGCTTGGATGAAATAGCTGTCCAGTGCTCCCAGGTTTCCAGTGTCCTGGCAACTAATGTCAGTCCATGGTGAAAACTAACCTGGAATATTCATCAGCTAAAGATATACGGTCTCCAGTGTTTTCTGTGTCTACAATGATCAGTAACACTGATGGAAGATGCTTGGAAACAATCAACACGAAAAATTAATCCTAAATTTCATTCTGACCGAGACTTATCAACAAGTTAAGTTTATAGCACTAGAAATATTCGTAATTACTGTGAGATAGGAACCTAAATTGTAGTGACAAATATCATAAATGAACATGATAACTGTTTTGTAGTATCAAAAACCATGGGTGGTTAGTGTAGACATTCAGAAAGGAGTTTAATTCGTTATAATTTGAAAATTGATCTTTCGTTGAGATCTGTGGACGTTATTGATGAAGCTGGGTAGAAACAAGGTCAACAGTGTCTAAGAGTTTGAAAGCAATCACGGAGGGAATCTTGATAATGATAAGTTGAAAGAAATTCAAAACTGGACATAAAAATACATAGGATAGTTTTTATAATAAATCTGAAGTATAAAATGAAAAATGAAAAGATCCAGTGATTGTCCTATCTGAGTCAATAAACTTAAATCTCATTGAGGTATAGAAGATATGAAATGAATTCGTGGTTATCACTCATCAATAAGTGTGGTTAACTTTTGCCAATAATCCTTTATAGCAAACACAAAATAAGCTTTTAAAAGGTCACTCATTTTGTTTTTGTCAGGGGGTGTAATCTTAAAAACAAATTCGTGTTGGCAAATCCACTGGCATATTCATTAAAAAGATTAACATTTTATCATTCTAAAAATGTTATCTGTACTTCAGATGGTTCATTGCAAGTCACATTTGTGCATAGTTTATTTGTGATGATTTTGTCCTACTAAATTTAATCTATTTAATTCGTTTTATACAAAGAAATCTGACTGAGAAAAAATGAAAACAATCGACCTGAAACTAGTAAGGTATCCTGATACTTTATCATATTTAGAAGAAATTTCTTTGACTCAACTGTAACTAACGAATCGTTTTACCGTGAGGTCATGATGTGCTTGAGACGTAGAGGTGATTAGTTAGATTAGTTACCCGTTGATCAATCTGCATTAACATAGAATCTAGCATCTTCACACCCTATATCAGAACATCGACGTGGAATGCACCATAGAGAAAGGCAGAGAAGTGAGGAGAAAAGTAATCTGCAGTAGTGAAAAGAAAAGAAAAGGAAGAAGAAAAGAATAACGAAACTTGATGTGAAGCTTAAGATGTAGATAACGTGGGGGTACATATGTGTCATTGAGATCGATTCCCAGCCAAATCACCTAAATTCTTCAACCACCGATTCTGGTTGTCAGGCAGACCTCAAATGAAAAGCCTACATTCGCTTACACGACTTAGATCAACATCCAAAGACTTCAGGAACTGATGCAGTGTTTTAGTCCACCCACCACTAGTCTTTTCCCAACCTAAACCTATTCCAGCTAACATTGTGCGATGGGTATACGGTGACTAGGCATGCATAACACATGTCTGAGCAAAGAGAGGTTCACTGACTCATCACTTGACCAGTCACTTCAATGTAAAACTCTCCGACTGACTTCTGTTTACAAACGTAGTGGTTCTACGACACGCTATTAAAAAGGCAACAGTGGTTGACCACCTGAAGCCTCTACCCTTAATAACCAAGTTTCAAAGCCATAATATAAAACCAGACGAACTGTCCTCCGACTTCCCAAGCACCACTGAATCGGTCAATTAGCTCAACCTCTTTACTCGGTATTATTAACCAACGCAACACTAAAGATCAGTCCTGGAACAACAGTTTGAATTTGAGTGATTCAAGAACAACTGAGAAGCAAGAATACTATGCAAATATTTTGTCTAAGCTCATGACTCCAGATTTCTACACAATCTAAACCACTAAAAAAAAGCCAAATCGCCCGATTCTAGTTATCAGACATTCAATCTTCACTTTTTAGTTTGATGACTTTGAGGTGGAAATGGCGGTTTATGTCTCATTGCTATGCCATGCGATGTGTAAAGCTTCTGAACGAAATCGTATTTCTTACCCTCATTTTAGTCGTCAGGGTGCAGCACTTTCCATATTGTCGTGCTACAATATCGTACATCAAGCCTTGAATGCTTGCTGAGTGTTTAAGGCTTGAAATTTTAATAGATCTACTTTTTATTTCATCCTTTTGGATGAATAAATGTTAGAAATACTTTTTTACTTTGACAGGATATTCCAGAGCCTATACGTTTCATCACTAGAGATTGGATGCCTAATAATCCATTCACACAAGGCTTACCAGTTGCCCGAGTAGTACTTGAACGAATCCTACCCAGTGAATCATGGCAGTGTACTTCAAAGCTATACAATGGTGTAGAAATTTTCAATTCTGATGGAAGTACTGATACTGTTGGAGTAAAGTCAGATTCTCAAAGCGATAAGCATACACCTATGGTTCAGTCAGTTATCGGAGATATAACTGGCACACTACCGAAAAAGTCTAGAAATAAAGGTGGAACTAGTGGGTCAAGTGGTGGTGGTGGGCAAAGTGCTACAAGAATAACAAGTGGAGGACTTGGTGGAGATAATCCTTTATCAGATCCAAGCTTAGCTCAAATGGCTACATTTTTATGCATTACAGATTCTTGGTCAGCTTGGGGACCTTGTTCAGTAACCTGTGGTGTTGGTCGTCGAAGTAGACAGCGTGCTATGCTGATCAATAAAAAAACAGAACTTTGTCAACATGTTCCACTAGTAGAAGAAGAGGTAAGTGTTGGAATTCTCCATAGAGGGAAATAAAATTCAAAATACATTTGTGTTTATTGTCTTCGATAAGTATGTTTAAGAAGCGTGGTTTGCATTAGAAGAGTCTATCACTAATCGACTGTTATATGTTTTTAATGTAGTCCCCCTCAGTCCATCAGTACTCGAGTAATTAGTGCAGTAGCTTACATATGGCATTGTTACTATTCCTTTGAAATGAGCAGTTTGCTTAGATTGCTGAGATAAGGTCAATCCTTTCATTTCAGATAGTAATAATTGGCTGTTATAACTAGATTTTTAAAAATGACTTATTTAGGTAATTTTAAACAATCAACTTCTGTTGGATGTTACTTTCGACACAGTAGCCCAACGGTAATGTGCTCACCACGAAAACTCCGAGTCCCGGGATCGATCCCTAGCGGAGTCATGGGTGTGTACTGTTGGAGAGTCCCGTACCAGGAAGAAACACATGTTCAGTGCTCCCAGGTTTTCAGTGTTTCTCCAACTGATGTCAGCCCATGATGGATACTACCCCAAAATCAATAAATTCCAACAAACCTCCAAATTGCATATGCTTATCTGTAATATCGTAGAGTGTAATACGAAATCACCTCCAGAAGTCATGACTTCACATCTAGTCTATCCACTCTACTCATGTATTATGGACAGAAATGACACTACAGTTAGCTTTTTACCTGAGGAATTTAGGTCAGTTGGATTCTTCTAAGACTAAATTGCAAGAGGTCAATCGTGACCTGAATAACTCAGTAGTAATGTCTTTGACTGCAGCATTGGTTGATATGAGTTAGAATCTTTCAGAGGAAATCAGTCCCCTAGAGGTTACAGATATAACTTACTGACAAGTGCTAACAAGCACAAAACTTAAATTCAGAGCTCCCTATTGATTGCGTGCAATTTATTGACGTCAAAGGATTATTTCAGCTCGACACTAAGAGTTTCTCACGACGATCCTATCACATATGAATGACTGAACAGCTGTTTCGTAATATTCTTGGATTCGAGGTATGCATTTTATAAGGTTTTATTTCAAACAAGTTTGAAACTGAAATTTTTTGACATGTTACATCAATTATATCGTCAAACAGGTAACGATGAGGAATTCAGATATCGGAGAAGAGTACGTCGATAGAACTAGTAGCCATTAGAAAGAAATTCAATGAAGTGATAAGATTTCCAATATGCTAAAAGAAGTGTGTAGATTATAATAGTGTTAATGGTGATCAACGTATCCGTTAAATGTTATCATTTTCCCCTTCTTCTTCTCTCTTGAAAAGTCCTGTGATGGTCGGAAACGTACATGTGACTTTAGTGCACCATGCAGCTTACTACCATGGACAGCTTGGACTCCGTGTAATGCAACATGTGATCACCCAAACGGTCGACAAACACGTACACGTTATTTAGCTCGCCCAACAGAAAGGCACAACTGTGAACACGTGTTCAAAAGTGAAACAGAATCAAACAAAGGTATACTACAAGAAGTAAGAGAATGTCAACCTAAAGATACAGACTGTGATCCAGCGACAATATGTGCGGAAGGTAGAAAAGATGGTTTAGTCTGCGGAGAAGAAGTTTCAGTCTATTACTATAGTGCTGTTGAACATGCCTGTTTACCATTTAAATATCTCGGATGTAAAGGTGGGCGAAATCGATTTACTACTAAGAAAGCTTGTGAAAATCTCTGCTTACCAGCTGTAGAAGCATTACCTAAATGGAGAAGAGAACGTATGGCTTTACTGCAATACCAAACAGCTCAGATTGCTATAGGTAGTGACGACTTCAAAAGCCAACAGATTTCTCCGGCTGAGCATTGCTCACAACTAATGAATCCTGGTTATACATGCATCAATGGAACAACACCGCAGAACAGATGGTAAGTTACCGGTTTGCTTATAAGTAGGTTTACTTTTGAAAACACTCCTAGATATTTCCACTACTGCACACTCAAAAGTTTTTCAAACTTAACTTTAGTGTGTTTCCATCCAAACTTCGTTTTGGAATATAAATATATCAGCGTGTTCTAATATTCATCCTTCCAGGATATAAAAAAGACACTCTTTGCATTCAAAAGTTTACCTTGCTCTTATTCTCGTTCATCTGTTGAAAGAGGTTACCGCCTTACACTAGAACCTTAAGCAATTCGAGGTGAAAGGTAATCATCGGTAAGAAATACTTGAATGGTTCGTACCAAAGACATGGATGAAATAACTGCTTGAGATTTCATCGATTTCAGGGGTCCTTCAACAGAAATCGCTTTGTAATCATATTCATTTATTGAGTATCACATCATAATTTATTTCTCAGTTTTTTTTACAAGCTTCAGATGATCTATGTTATTGTTTGAACCTGGTAATTCATGGTGAAAATTGCCTTCAGATAGTGGACTTTTTTAACCAATAAACACTATCACAACCTCCTAACTTAACTGTCCACACACTTCACATCAAGATCATCCAACCTCTGTAACTACTCCTCTTTTGATGTAATACTGCTGTTTCTAGTAAATCTAACTTGGCGGGTGTGGTAAATTCCTGGCTTCAGTATGAAACAGAGTGTTTGTTAAGCATAAAAACAGGACGAGATTGTCTGCTGTCATCGCAGGAAGTTTTGTTGTTTTCCTAGTTCCTAAGGCAGTATTAAGTTCACAACAACGGATCAAGGACATAAACCTAATGACTACTGAAAACTGTTGTAACATCAAGTTTGCTGTAACGTGGCCTTTAAAATAATTCTACTTTTATTACTTGACTCATCATGACTGATCATTATCTACTCATTTCTCTTCAGGTATTTCTCTTCACGTCTACGAAGATGTCGTGATTTTGAATATCGTGGTTGTGGTGGAAATAAGAATAACTTCGAAACATATCAAGCCTGTTTATCTGACTGTTTGCCGTTAGAAATGGAAAAGCTGCGTCAAGTCAACAAGGCACGCTTGGCTAGTACACGTAAATTTACAAAAAATACAGCTATAACCGAAAATGATATGTCATCCGCTAGTGAAGAGATGCCAATGCCAACATCCAAAGATGACGATGAAGGTGATACACTCAGTAAAATGGAGCGTCAGAAACTGGATGATATGTGGGGTCCTAAACAAGACTGTATAATGACTGCATGGAGTGGATGGAGTCCATGCTCAGTGAAGTGTTCACATGAAACTGGTACACAGATGCGTTGGAGATATGTTGAGAAACCTGCAATGCATGGAGGCCACTCATGTGATGCTTTATTTGAAAAGCGTGAATGTCATGGAAGTTCTTGTTGACCACTTAAAAGTTAATGTGTTAATCATTATTGTAAATTTAACTTATTTTTTGGCTCTGTCCTTATTTCACCTTCTTTAAACTAAATAATACTTCTCAACATCTTAGAAACAGTAATGGCCATCAAGGCATTCAAATGTAACTCAATTACAAAATGCTTGGCTGCTATTATCTATCTATCTATCTATCAAAGCATTGTTTGCTCTTGCTTTTCGCATCTATTACGCTCCCCAACTTTTTCAATGTACTTTCTTAACTACTCATGAGTAGCTCAATATTTATACTTAAAAATACGCTGACTCAGCTGACGTACAGTTTTAGTGAAGTGAGAATGTTATTGAAAGATCAGAGTGTTTTGAATGGAGACAACGAGAAAGGGAATGAAATATTTATCTCGTATAAGTTATCTTAACCCATTATTATCCTCCAAAAGGTTATTTGTCTTTTCTCATGCACAAAGTGATCTCTAATGAATATGAATATCATTTGGCTATTTTTCTGAAACTCCTCAGAAGATTACTTTGTATTTTGCAAACTTCTGCAAACCAATGCTTCTGTATATCCACTTGCAACTAACTGTTCTAGCGTAGATTTATTTAAAGTAGAAGTAAAACGATATTACTACTGCTTGAAGATCTTCGAACGTTGGTGTATCTTATTCCCAAGATTTGCGAAATTTTTTACGAGATACTAAACACAGTAGGAGTGTGGAAGAATAGGCTTTCAGACTGTCAGTATGAACATGTTATGCATTTATGCAGTCTATAGTTGTTGGTATGAGTTATGTACCCTTGCGAGTTTCCTTACTACCGTACTGGGAATTAGTAATATGAAGCATTTGTGACTTTTATGTGGAATAGCCTAATGAGGACTTTTAAAGTTCACATGTATAATCTTATCTTGTCATAATATACCTATGCAGTGTCTTGTGAACAAGAAACAATCATCAGGTACATCACATAAAGATAGTTTATAAGGTCAGTTCAAGTATGATTTTCTGACTTCGGTTATAAAAATACTTTTAATGACTGGCTATGTGAAAACTATTATAACCATAATAAATAAACTAGAAGAAAGATATGCACTGAAATCATTGTGCTTTGAGCATCTTAACTGGACCCACTGCTATCCGCCGCACGAATACCATTCTGTTTGGTTATTAAACAGGTGAGCGCTGTGCTTTTTCAGAACAGTGAATAACGAACTGGACAACTTGTTCCACTTTAGTAATGTTGAAATTCATTGGAAGACTGCTTATTTCGCTTAGGCTAATTTATAGTCATCTAGATTTGCATTAGAACCTCAGATATATTGATCAAATGTTGACAGTTTTTGGCCAACTTTAAAGATGGAAGGCTTTGCATTGGCTAACCTTCAGATTTGATTATCGATTATAAAGAAGGCTAACAGTCATTAAATTTGTGCAAACATATTCTCTCTCATGAAGATGTTGAACAATTCAATGCAAAATAAGAAATTTTACTACGGAATTCAGATCATTCTAATGTCAACTGGACCTTTGAATGACACAGGAGAGAATCTTCAACTCAATATGAGTTTCATCAAGATTGTAGATACACTTTACAGATGAATGTTAGAAAAATGGAAATGTAAGTGAATAGCTTTTAAGCGATCACCTTTGGAATATCCAAAACCAAATAGATTGACGTTTAGTTATTTTGTTCAGCCCCCAAAGCGTACTCATTGAGGGATAAAAATGAAAAAGCACTAAGGGTTTTAACACACATAAATAGCAAACACTCTTGCTAACTTCACTTACCTGTACAATCGATAACGAAAACCCATTGGGTAATACCAGATTGCATACTTCTGATTGCATTTTCAATGGTATATATGAGGTGAGTGACGGCATCATTTGACATGTTTCTGTGTGAAACAGCCTGACAAAATGAAGCATAGATAACTGGACGCCCAGCTTCATCGAATCCAATCTGTCTCTAAACAATCAGATAGTAGAAAGAGAAATGTTGGTGTATGAATGATTTAAAAACTGTTTTCATCGAGAGTCATTATTAAACTAAGAAAAACTACTTCAAACTGGCTGTCAATCAACTGGTACTCTTTTATTTTCGTTTGACGTTAGAAGTGAATTGTGATTCAGTGTGGAAAAGTTGCAGAAGGTTGACTGGAGCCCAGTTAACTACATTTCAAGCTTGCTGACTCTCATGAACAAGGCGTAAATGCTCACGTTATGTAAAAGGCTTAAATCTTTGTTATTGAATGCGGCATTTAGATTGGTTACTAAATGTTTCTATTAATCTGTTCCTCAGCTTAAAAGCTTCCTTCCTAGAGTGAATAGAATCATATAGGCAATATAGCCACATAGATAGATGAATGACTGTTTTGAATCGTTCGATGCAATCATCAAGAATCCCTAATGCTGATGTTATTCTGGTGAGTTATCATCAGCAAGGCATATTCTCAGTCCCATGAAAACTCATACTTCAGTACTAAGAATGATCGATGGGTTGCAGTCAGGACTGAGCAGTAGATAGCTGTGTTGATAATTATTTACTAAAATAACTCAGTTCAACCCCTGTGTGAAACTTTCTATAACCAGGGAGGTGGAGTAATTCATAGTTTTCAGTCAACCCTAATCATTAAGTTCGATAAGATAAGCGATGTGTTACAATCGATGATGCAATCAGATATTAATCACTTATAAAAAAAACTGTTTAGTCAAATTTATTAAATCCTTAAAATTTCTGTATCAAGACTTTTGTGACTTCGTTAAGTTTCATTCCCACCACGAAAAAAAAACCAAGCGATATCATAAATGTACACCCCCCGAAAATTCTTAGATATACCCATTCAATCATTCATCATTCGAACCACTAAAACATGTTTTATGTTGTTTAAAGGGATCGAAGAAATTACGCTCACATATAAATTTGTATTCATTTCAACAAAAGAAAGTATCTTCAAGAAGACTCACTAAACTGTGTGTTCCTGGTTGACTATGACAATTTTTACAATCAGTTATGTCTGGTCTAAATTCCTGACGCCATTGTAAATCCTTACGCATCATTTTCTCTGCAGCTTGTAAATCCCAACTACGCGCTTTAAGAAATCGTACAATACTGTGAAAAATAAAAACAAATAAAGAAGATAAGTTGAATACTTTTCATTTTGTAGATTGATTGTGAATATAAATTGAAAGATTTATGATACCATTGTATTCTGCCTCTTGTTTAATGCACAATATTTCAATGACCAGTAATCTGAGGATTCCAGGATATGCTTATTGATCAATATATTAAACATGTGAATTTAGTAGCTTTGTTTAACTGAATAACGAACACAAGATGGAGACTTTTGAACATAAAAGAGTGGTCGACTGAAATGTTTGATTATATTAGTTAACTGCTCCCTTTTTATCTTCGGTTTATGAGACATATCACACAGTCATACAGCACTTTATACTTAATGACTGGATTTCGCCGATGACTTGTGTCTGATGTCACACAAACTTGAAGATCTACAGGCGAAAACTAACAAGTTGGCAGAAGAGGCAGCGGAGACGAGACTACAAGTGAATATAGAGAAGAAAGAGGTGATGAAGATACCGCACCAACAACTCCAACAACAACAAGGAACTCCAATCACTACCAACGGAAGAAACTTAAAGGAAGTAACCTCCTTCACTTATCTAGGCTGCGTTGTTTCAACTACAGGCGGCGGCACAGACGAGGATATCAAAGCCAGAATCGGAAAAGCAAGACAGGCGTTCATTAGCCTGAAACCAGTGTGGAGATCTGCACTCAGCATGTGGGATAAGATCCAGATTTTCAACACCAACGTTAAGTCAGTGCTTCTGTATGGTTCAGAGACTTGGCGAGTTAAGAAAGGGATTTCCAACAAACTACAGACATTCATCGACAGCTGCCTACGCTGGTTCGTTACTGAAGATCAGATCAGATGGCCAGAAATAATAAGCAACAAGGAACTCTGGCTGGCTGGCAAAGAACCAACCAAGAAGCTATCGCTCAACAAATATGCAGTGGAAAGAAGTGGAGATGGATTGGACATGCACTGAGAAGGCCGACTGAAGCGACGAGTTGGGCGTCCGAAGCGAGGGTGACATGGAGTAGATGGTGCGAGGAGGAAATGAGAGCTTCTAGGCTGTCGTGGAGCCAGGTTCAAAAGATTTCAGAGATGTGAGTGGAATGGATACGTGCTACTGAAGCCCTATGTTCCGTTAGGAACCCAAGGGACAAATAATAATAATAGTCAAATCGAAGCATCTCCCTAACTTCAAGATGTACTCTGTGTTGTTTTAGTTTTCCAAAATGCTTTGTTATATTGAAATTTCCGAGAAATCTGACCCATGTACTTAATAGTTATAGAAGATCAATAAAATGTCCCTTTATAAACTATAAACTGAGTGAACAAAGCATATTCTTTTCGATAACTTCTTCTTCAGGTCCTAGAGTTATATGCATTATATTAAGGAATTATGTATCAACAGTATTGAATTTTCATTTATCGGTTTATTAATAATGTTACACACATTAGTAATTCTATTCAGAATGGTCTGGTGTAAATACTAGTGACACAATTAGTTATTGCTGGGATTCATTTCAAAATAACTGAAAATCTAAACGATTAAATAGGCTTAAGCCATAGAAATTCACCCACCAACCTTGTGCACATTCGTACAGTAGACAATGAGTCACACCTATTGTGTGAGAGCTATTGAAAATTTCTGCTCAAACCTCGCTGAGCCAATGAGCCACAAATCCATGTAATAATTTAAGGTGGAAGTTTAATAAAACAATAGAAAGGTGTTTTTAAGAGTTGAAACAACCTAATGAAGATCATTTAACGAATAATAGCTTCATAGAATGTTACTCATGTTGAGGGATACAAGAGATAATGAGAATTTGTTAAAATTATTTCAGATTATAGGGATGGAGGGGTATCTGTAGTATGGAATTAAATTATCTAGTGTAGGATGTGAATGAATTTATGCGCCCTGAGTCGGAGCACGTTAGTTTTAGCAGGAATACTTGCCTTTTTGACCACATAGGTTGTTTGATCCTGATGGTTACTGTTTCTGCAGTTCGAAGGATTCTGATCCGCGTAGGTTTTGGCAAGCTGGTAGGAATTCCGCACAAGAGAGGGATACAACTTATCCATATCTATCTTATGATTCTTTTCAACCAAAAGCGCTTACATGGAGCTGTAATGGTCTCTACCACACCTTTACTAAACCACGGTGGGAAGTGTTCGCCAGCAAATAAAATTAACTCTTTAAAACAGCGGGCGACATAGCTGGCTCCATAGCAGTAGTCGAACCGATAAAGACAGCAGAAAGTTGCCAGTTTGGGCAATTCATCTTTCAGTTTCAGATTTATAGAGGGATTCTGATGTGGCTACAAACATTTTGTCCAAAATGTTATCAAATCGGTAATACTGTCATATTATGCAAACTAAAATGGGATTACCACACTCACACTGATAAGTTGTTCTGTTGTGAACCTCTAGTACTCTCTCCCGTATCAGGCTTTTTTTATCACTTTCAGCATACCTATGAAATTAGTTTCTTCTACTACTTTCAGTTGGTGATGCAAAGGCATTTTAACCGAGTCCTGAAATTCGTAGTCTGAATGATTTATTTAGACAAGAAAACTAATCGTCTTTTTAATGAGATGTACTGAATTTTAATTGGTTAGTGAGCGCTGCTGGCTTGAAACCAATAAGTTGTGATCTTTAAAAGACTCTACTCACCCAATACTAAACAGCCTCACAAAATTGTCAGCATTAAGTTTTGTGGAATGCACAACTAACAGCTGTATTCAAAGTACTCTCAGTAACTTAATATTTCACTGAATTCACTCAAGTTAAATTTTTACTGGCGTTAATAATTACCGTAGTTTTTATCTCCACCTTACATGAATTACAGAACAATTTGTAACTAGAGGAAACTACAATAAAGTTACTCTTTCTTTTTGGACTCCTTGACAGGTCATACGGTCAAACTGAGAAAGGGGTAAACATAAGTAAGAGCTTTGGGTTCCATAGGAAGCATGTCACCACTCAATCACCGAATGAGAATAGAATATTCAGAACTTCCAGTATCTCTGTTGAAAAACCATTCTCAGTGTGGAACGATTTCGTTGATTTTGAACTTCTCACTAGAACATCAAGAGATCCATTAACCTGGGTTAAGTTGTTGTCAGGTTGACCGATTTCCTCGAAGTTGAATATATTCAGCAAAGTTTTCAATTTTGACTAAAGTGACCCCAGAGTGACTCACTGGTGACATATCTGTGATGATGCCTAGAATTTGATTTAGTATGCAATTAGTGTACCTGTGATTGAGGACTTCTAAGCTAACGAACAACAACCATCTAGTACTATCCGCAGTTCAGTATTCCTGTGGAGGATGTAATTTGCCGACAAGAGTCATTTTCAATTCAAGCAGCATTTGCTTAACCATGTAATGGAATAATAAAAAGGCTAATGATAGTTGTCTGCTTACGTCTTATTTATTTACAATCTTCATCTTGAGGTTATCTACTTCGTGGTGACTACTTTTTCATATGCCTTCTTATCAATTCCTACTGTGGTTTGAAGTGACATGCAGAAAGTGAAAATACTACTTGTAAAGTTCATCATATCGAGAATGTGACCACAATTTCATAAAAAATTTCTTTATCATCTGAATGCTAACATCATTCAGCATACCTTCTCAGAACTCGACTGACGTTTACCATAATACATCCAATTTAACACAGTCTATAAAAGATGTAAGCATTGAATTCTGAATACACGATTCAACTAACATTCTAACGCAACATTTTCCTGAATCCTATCGAATTCATTAATACAGACAGTGCTAACTGAAATCATATACTAATTCTTCAAAGTGTATTTCAGTTTTAGGTTATGAATATTGTTTTTTGAACAATAGGTATTTAACATTTCAAGGTGAAAACTGGTCAAATTTAGTATTGACTTGTCTGATTTTAATCATAGGCCAAATTATTTATACAAAAGTCAGTCGCTGAAATATACTTCTTTATCATAATGATCGATAGTGATTGGAAGTGGAAACTAGGGCAAGCATTTCATCCTATTTACATGCAATAACATACTTCATTATCAATTTAAATGTGAATGTTTTTTATCACTGAATAAAAACAAGTTACAGTCAGTTCAATTCTGTAAATTGTAAACTGGATTTCTGAATAACAGACTGCATTGATTCTGTGTATCATCAAATGATAGATAATTCCTTCAAACGAATAGCATGTTATTTAATCAGCTAGTCAAAGTGATCATGTTGTAGCTAAGCAGCTTGGGAATGAGGTTGACAGTCAATCAATAATGCGTAACCCTGATCTCTTAGTTAATTATTATTCGCCAAAACTCTATGAGGCCAAGTATACCTTTTTGACGTTTCCATATAATTTTGTAAATAACTAATTCTAAGATAGTATTCATGACAGACTGACATCAATTAAAGAACCATTAGAAACTTCTGCAGTACACATCTACAAACCCCACCCAGAACCAACCCCAAGATCTACAGGTCTTGGGGCGAACACGTTCACCATTTAGCCACTGGGTCGGAGTTCAGCTGACCTCAGCTTCCTACCGCTATCAATTTGCGTTATAGCATGACTACGTCACTACGATCTTCATTTGGTATCCACTTCACTTCCGACTGGTTGACCATACAAGTCACTGCTTCTCATTGGAACTTCAGGATATCCATCCCCAAGCATGTCACAAATGAGCACGGTACAGTAATGTGAATTAAAGTTTATGTGGAGTTTATTTGTTTGAAGGTAGTAATCATCAGGGATTGATATCATTTGGTGTAGTCAGTTGGAGAACGTTGATGTTGTTTATGAGTCAGCTACTAAAACCGATACTAATAGTGTAAGAATATGATTTGCGCATAATAACTAGGCTGTCTCGCATTCAGTAAACAGAATCCGGGTTGGATACAACCCCATAAAGTTGAAGGCCAATGATACAACGTTATTTCATGAACATTCAGTTCTATAAAGTATGTTTTCAGTATTTTTTTAAAGTAGTTACAACTATGCATGTCAGCCCTTTTACTGAA